TATATTTTTTAAAAATAAAAAGAGACTAATTTAAAAAATAAAAAGAGATTAGTTACTAAATAATTATATTATGAATACAATTTAATACCAAGTCTGGATATATTAAATGTAGATTAATATAATTTCTCAAATGATTTTATTTTAACAATGAGAAGTGTGGCGTTAATTATAAAAGGTTCATCAATGAAAAAAAATCGACATGATTTTTTTCATTTGTTTTGAACTGTAAACTCATCATTTTTTTCTAGTATTTTAAACTTTAACATTATAAGGAAAAATTTGGTATTACTAACATACATTTTCTTTTCTATAGGGGAGGCATTATTTTTTAAACATGCAGTACATTTTCCATGTTAAGGATTATTTCTATTGTATGTCATTAGCAAATATTTATACGCATGGGTAGTTTAATTTTTAAACAATCACGAGAAACTCATTTTGGTATACTTTTGCACCATTGCTATTATTAAATTACAATGGGTTGAACTTAAAAATAGTTATGCATCAATCTCGCTCTAAATGAGCTAGATAGACTAAAATAAAATTGCTCATGCTCTAGAGTATCAAGGTAAATATATACCTTATTTGAGATATCAATAGTTAAACATATTTTAGGTGCATGATTATCTATGTAATTTGGCTTTACAATAGAAGTGTGACACCATGATGGCAAAAAATTGAAATAAGTACCTCGAAAAACACTCATAACTAAAGAAAAAGTTTGACGAATATGAATATGTATTCGAAATGATTTATTTGTTTTTTTTAAAGGGGTTTTCCCCCTATTTTTGTGTTTTATTTACTTTTGTTGGAATTTTCTTTTTCCATTTTGCTTTATTCCTAAAAAGGATTATATGTAATATTTGATTCAATTACTTCAAGTAAACAATATATACGTTTCAGTCAATATATTTTTAGGATATACATGATTTAATTTTCATTGTTGAAAATAAATTTTATATACTTATATCCCTAAACAAATAGCATAGTAGACAGTTGATCACATTAATTCATATTTAATTTTTTTTAATATACTAATCCTCCTAAACAAGAAGCATAGATAGTTGGAACATACTAATTTGTTCTTAAAAAAACCCATACAAGTGCTTGATTGAAGTAGTAAAAATATTGGACCAAGTTAACTACGAGCTATGATTAAATCTGCGCATGAGCATGTTGTAATGATTGTTGGGAGATGTTTGTCTTCCGAAATGGGCCTACCTGATTCGAAGACGGATTAGTTGGAACAGTGATTTCGAACACCGGATGCGCTATTTTTACCACTTGATTAAAGTGGTAAATATACCGGACCAAGTTAACTACGATCTATGATTAAATCTGCACATGAGCATGTAGTAATGATTGTTGTGAGGGGTTTGTCTTCTGAAGTAGACCTACCCGATTAGAAGACGTAATAGTTGGAATAATGATTTCGAACACCGGATGCGTTATATACCAAAAATGGAATGGAAAAAAAACATATGACACTCTTGATTTCGGACTTCGGGTGCTTACTATACCAAAAAACGGAAAAAATAAAACATATAACATTTTTTTTATAAGAAAATAATAATATATTAATGTTACTCTAAAATATATTAAAATCCGCACAACGTGCGAGCATAATAGTAGTTGTGTATGATTTAGCATCTTTTGATTTTTTTTTTTTTTTGAGGAAAACATCTTTTGATTTAATACATATGGTTATCACTTGTGAAAAAGAAAAGATTCATAAATCTTGATGTTTAATACTCCCTTCGTCCGACAAAAATAATCCAGTTTCATAAAAAATGTTGTCTGCGAAAAAATAGTCCAGTTCAATAAATCAAAATAAAATTTGAACCAAAATACAGAATTACCCTTAGATGAAAACTAATTTTACTATTATCACAACTCAAAAACGAGTTGCTTCCAGGTCACAGATCCGAAATCACATACGCCTCCGGTGAAATTTCTCCAGCTCTTGCCACCTAAGTCGCCGACGAAAAGCCCTGCCTCTCGCCGGAAAAGTTAGCTTCAACAGCGGAGAGAATTTCTCCCCCTTCTCGGACTCGACGACTCCTTCACTCTCCTACTTCCTAATCCCATAAATCAGTTAGCAAATTTCCGGCGATGTTGTTTTCCACCTCAGCCGTAAACGAGGAATTCGATCCCTGTTGCAGTGATTGATCATCTGTAATTGACGGTGAGGGAACAAAAATCCCCACTGAATCAAGAATAGAGCGCAAGAGAGGGAGGAAAAGGAAGGAGAATCAAGAAGAGAGAGGACAAACTTGGACGGGGCAATTCATTGTTGAGGATTTTGCCTTCCCTCAAAGGTGCTGTCTGGCAGAGGAGAAGGAGAAGAATACGGCGACGCAAAGAGATTAAAACGGCGGAGCAGAGATATTATAATGGCGGAGCAAATATATGAGGCGTAGTATTGAGGAATAAATTAAATTAGGGGTATTAGTGGAAATATGAAGACAAAAAAAAATTGTACGTTGATTGAGTTGAATAAATTAAAAATGTTGTACATTTCTAAACTGGACTATTTTTGTGGGACTATTATCTAATTATCAATTTCTCCCAAAGAAGAAAAAAGATTAATTTGAAACTAAAGATATTTTCCTTAAAATTTTAACATCATTATATTTTTATTAGACTTTTGAAATTCGATTTGATATTCCCTATTTTTATGTATATATATATCTTACTATATTAGAAACAAAAACCACACTTAAAAGAAATCACCATCATTTGCCATGTGGCATTTTCACATCATATTTTTAAAATAAATTTTTATTTACACATCAGTTTCTTAGACTTAAAAGACAAATGCAGTCCAAATCTACCTCCACCTCCTATTTTCGCCAAAACAAAATAAAAAAAACACGGCTTGATAAATAGCCCAAATTCTCATCCCCATCTCTACGACAATCGACTCCCTAATCAATTCCTTCTCCATAATAAAAAAAAATATATAAAACAAATTCCTCATCAATCATCAATTGAGAATAAGTGGTGAAATATACTCCTTTCTATTAGCATGTTCAATCTTTTCATTAGTGATGATCAACTACATCTTAATCGGATAAAATATGTGGTAAAATTTCTGTTTACCTCTCTATATAAACACAAAGGAAAAAAAAAAAGTCTCATTGATCTTAAATTTATATATATCTTACTATATTAGAAACAAAAACCACACTTAAGAAAAAGCACCATCATTTGCCATGTGGCATTTCCACATCATATTTTTAAAATAAATTTTTATTACCACATCTCCTAAATTTAAAAGTCAAATGCAGTCTAAATTCACTTCCACCTCCTATATTCGTCAAAAAAAAAAAAACCACGGGTTCATAAAAAACCCAAATCCTCATCCCCATCTCCACGACAATCGACTCCTTAATCAATCCCTTCTTCACAATTAAAAAAAAACAAATTCCTCATCAATCATCAATTGAGAATATATGGTGAAATATATTCCTTTCCTATTAGCATGTTCAATCTTTTCATTAGTGATGATCAACTACATCTTAATCGGATAAAATTTGAACTTCAAAAAATATTCTCTTTACCTCTCTATATAAACACAAAGGAAAAAAAAAATTCTCATTGATCTTGCTTCGGCCGTTGTGGTGGTGCCATTACAGGTATTAAAATTTAAATGATTTTACTCCCATAGATCATTGGTTTGGCTTTTATTATTTTTTATTTTTCCCGTTCAAAGATAGTGTGATTACTATTATTTTTATGCGTCCATTCGTTACAGCTACCGTAGCCGTTATCAGGTAGTATGATGTGATTTCTTATTTGGTTAGTTAGCCTAGAATTTTTGTATGATTTTAGTTATGTTTGGATTGAATTGATTGATTGGGTTTTTGTTACAAAGTGTGGTTTTTTAAATTTATTTTTTATGTTTTATTCAATTAGAGTTTTTTTTTTTTAATTATGGAGTCTCAGGTTTTTTTTCGTATATGGCCAATTATGAAGTGTGTTTTTACTTTGTTTAATTACTTTTGATTTTGTTTCATATTCCCAGTTGACCAATTATTATTATTATTATTTTTATTATTTTATTTGCGAATGAAGCACGTTTCTTTTTTTGTATTCGGGGTTTCAAGAATATAATTTTTTGGATTTGGTTTTTGAACTTTTTTTAGTTCTTCATCATATAAATAGTTCAGGTCGCTTTTTTTAACTAATTTATGGGGAATCCTTTTATGAATTTGAGGTGGAAAGGGAAGGAATGATGTTTCTACGTTTATTTGTGTTTTTATACATCATTTTTACCTACAGAAAAAAATAAAAATTCTCAAATTTTGATGGACTATCTTTTACTTTTTTTTTTTCTTTATTTGTCATGGTAATGTGAGTTTTTTTTGCTATATCTTGAAACCTATGCAAATTTATATTATTTTCATTCTCATATTTGTGATCAACCAGTTTCAACAAGTAACCAGTTTTAAAATCATATTTTTGATATTTTACTACCTATAAACTTTTGGAAGAAATAGTTCCAACAATTAAGCGTATACCCTTTGGAAGAAGCTAACTACAAAGCTATTATAAATCTCCAAAACTAAGTATTGATTTGGTGCAACCAATGGAGAAAATCAATAAATTATCTTACTAATATTTAAACTTATTAGGATGCTTTATATTTTGTCTAGCATTTACTTCAAGACATATATTTGATCAAGTTTATTTATATTTAAGAAGTAACACTTAAAAAATATTTCTAAAATCTTCAAACATTTCTAAAACGTACCGGGCCAAATACAATTTATTTTTTTGCCAAATACAAACATCACACTTATAAAACATTTCTAAAATTCTTCAAATATTTCTAAAATATATCGGGCCAAATATAAATTTTTTTTTTCCAAATACAAACATTTCTAAGATATGCAGATATATTGGGCCAGGGGCGCGACCAGACATCACTAGTATATATATATATATATATATATATATATATAAATTTAAAAATGTCGAAAACTCAGCTAATTATCAGGAAACCCCCCAAAGTATGAATTAATTCCTTGCGCATCAGCTTCCTCCCATATCCCATCCCATTTGCTTCTTCTTCGTTTCTCTCTTTCACTCACCTACTTAGGGTTTCAGACCACTTCCACCCAATTACACCTTCCGTCCTGATGGCGGAAGTAATGAACGCTCCCGTCGATAACATCGACGGTCGTCAAGACCTGGGTAACAATGATAAGGACGCTACTACCAGCAAATCCCCAGAAGGCGGCTCTTCACCGCCTCCGCCTCCTCCTCCTCCAGCGCAAAGGAGGGGAAGGGACAGGGAAAGAGATTCGAGAGAACGGAGGGACGACCGTGATTTTGAACGCCGCGGTCGAGAGTACTACGATCGGAATCGGTCTCCTCTTCCACCTCCACCTAGAGAACGGGACTACAAGCGAGGTCGACCTAGCCCTAGCCCTCCGCCACCGTACCGTGAACGTCGCGGAGGTCACTCGCCTCCCCCTCGGAGGTCCCCTCCTTTTCCGCCTTACAAGAGGACGAGGAGGGATGATTTTGACGGAAGGCGTGGAAGCCCTAGAGGTGGATACGGACCTGGTGATCGCAGGTGAGTTTTGTAAATTCTCTCAAGCATGTGGGAATGAGGTCAATTTGCTGGTTAATTATGAGTACTAACTGTTGGGATTTGATAATTGGAAGGCTGAAACTGAGCTCTCGTGGTTTTGCATAGTTGAATGTTATGTTTTTTTTCCCCTGTAATTGTTTTCTGGGGATTCATTTTGCTAATTGCACTGAGGCAAGGATCATCTTGTTTTCTCACTGGTCAATCTTATTTACTACGAACTTATTGGGAACTTTTATGCCATCTTTAGTTTTTTGCTTAGTGTTTGATTTCTTATACTGTTTTGTTGTCCAATTGTAGAAGTGGTTGGTATTTGTAGCTATGCATTAACTTCATAAGAATGGTGAATCACATATTATTGGCTTGATGGAATTGAAGTAAAGTTTTAAGATAATTCTGAGTATTTGTTAGATGGTGATTGGTAGTTTTGAATGCAATCATTTTCCTCGACTTAAGTACCAGCTGTCTTTGGGAGTGTAGGGCTTTGAGAGTTAATAGAATTAGTTCTTAATAGGGATGATGTGAGTGGCTGCTGAGGCTAGTATTGAGTGAGGTTTGGATGTTTTTGTACGTGTTGGGTGCAAGACATGATCCAGTGATGCTATAATTATACTTTGATGATGAGTAAGAAAGCATATGTTAATTTGATGAATGGAACTTACGTTCTCTTAGTTTTGGTTTTTTCAGCTATGTGGAGGCTCCATTTTTTATTCATACAATTATTTCTAGTTGTGAGAAAAGTTTCCTTTGACTTTGTGTTTTGACCTTGACCATAAATAATGGAGAGAATGTAGAAGAAGTCGGGTGATATCTGGATCCTGGTGCTTGTCTGCTTTTGGGCACACTGGCATATCGATTTACTTTTATATGGTTGAATGACAACATTGTTTGATGTCCATGATTTTGATTCTCTGTTATCTGTATGTGGTTGCAGCAATGCTGTGTTCTGAATTCGTAAAGAAATTCTACCATTGTGAATATGTAAATCCTATCTTATTGTGGTGATGGTTTTTTCTTCCGGGGTTTGGGTTGTATGCTTTGGGTGCAAATGTGAATGCCCTTTTCATTTATTGCCCACCTTATGATGAAGAGATACATTCTAGTTTAATTATTTCATTGTCTAATACTTGTTTTGCTCTTCATTGATTGTGTTAAAAATAGGTTTTACGATTTCCAAGGTGGGTATGACCGTGAGATGGGAGGCAGGCCTGGTTATCCTGATGAAAGGCCCCATGGCCGATATGCTGGGCGTCCAGCTGGTGGCTATCAAGGTTCTCTCATGAATCACTGACTCTTATTTTGGGGAGGACTCCTTTGAGTGTACATTTTCTTATATTAACTCAGATTTTGTCTACTCTTTATCTCTCTCTATCTCTCCGTTATTTCTTCTTGTTGTTTTGTCTTAAGCTACATCTTGTTCTTTCTAAGTAAGCTGTTCTAGGTGAGCACAAATAGAGTACTTAGGCTTTTTAATTATATACATTTGCTTTAGTAAAGAATTGGAGGAGCTTTTATCTGCGGCTTCAGAGGTTGAAGAATTACCTGTATGCCGATTGACCACCTTTCATCTTCATTTTGATTTTAGTGTATTAGCTTCTGTACAAAATCTAGTAGTACATGAAGTTTGTTCTTTGATGATGATTTTTTTTTTTTTTTTGGTTTGAAAGATTTGTAATCTCAGCTTTGCTTACTGGTATGCATGGAGGACATATTCCAACAATGCTGCAATTATGTGCCTTACTATAGTTGTGCCTCTGTATTTGTAATGTTTTTTTTTTTTTTTTTTTTGTAAATTTAATCAATAAGCAAACTTTGAGATGTCACTCTAGAGTGACATAAAATAATACATATGGTTTCCCTAATGCTAATTGTTGGTTCTTTCACAAATTTGACAAATACAGTGAATTTGCTACCTAGTCAGTCAATATTAGCAAACTTCCCCTAGCATTTTGGTGTTTATCTTGGAGGCATTGGGTGCCTGGCTCATTGTCCTTGTTCATGTTGTGCAATTGAGAAGTTTCTTGGTAACATTCTGAGGTCTTCAAGGATCCTATATACTGATAATAGTATGGAAAAAGCGCTTAAATTTCTTTTCAAAGGGAGTCCTGGAGTTGCATGAGATTAGACCTTTAATTTTGCCGCCTAGCAAGGAGATTTTACAATATCAGACTTGTAGACATTCCATGTTTTCATATTACAATTTTCTTTAGGTTCTGAAAGATCTGGGAAGCTTTGTTATTGATGCAACCTCCGTTGTTATTGTCCTGCTGTGTTGTTTTCATGATACCAAGTTGCAATGCATGTTACATTGTTTTGTTCCTTGGATGGAAAGGGGAATCAGCTTGCACTGCAGATTCTACATCTGTTGCCATTCATGTCATCATTGTTTGGTGACTGGCTGATCTATGATCGACTGCTCTTTCGTCAATTTGATTTGGTTGGTTTATGATTTTGCTGAGGCTGGCCGTGAATCCACAAGTTTAGATGTGTTTGACTTTTAAACTTTGGACTGCTGATTACCTATTTACTGATTCCAATTTCTTGTCCTGCAGACTGGGATTCTCGTGGCCTAGGTGATGGTTTTGGTACAGGGAGCAATCAAAGGTACCCATAGTTCCTATGGAATTTGTAGTTGATTACTGTTTTCTGGAATATACGTGAGAATGTTAAGGCCGTTCCCATTTGATGGTAATAAGATTCTATGTCGTTTCTGATGTTTTCGAGAATTTGTGGTGCGAAGAATCTATGTTCTCATGGCTTTTTCGTTATGGGTCAGCAAAGTGCAATTTAGCACATTTTGATGTTTGAAGTTCTAATTTTCTACGTGGACTTTGACAAATTCTTTTTCTAGGGAAGGACTGATGTCTTATAAGCAGTTCATTCAGGAGCTTGAAGATGATATTCTGCCCTCCGAGGCTGAGCGTAGGTTAGCGAATGTTCCTTTGTTGGATCAATGTGTGGGAAGAATGTTTTTCCCCTTATTTGAATTTTTTTAATTCATTTTGCCTTCTCCCTATAAAGTACTAAAAGCAGCCAGGTACGTTTTCTCTTATTCAGGTATCAGGAATACAGATCAGAGTACATATCTACCCAGAAAAAGGCATATTTTGATGCGCATAAAGATGAAGAATGGTAAATCTGAATGGTGCTCTTCTTTTCTTTTCTGCCATGCCATGTATTGTTTCTGATCAGCATGTTTTTTATGAAGGCTAAAGGACAAGTATCATCCAACAAACTTACTTTCTGTCATAGAAAGGTACTTCCCAGTTATATAATATGCATTTGTCAGAAGGATCTCTATTGATGGATTTCCTCTTGTATTTCATCTATTTAATTGTTTTCTTTTTCTTTCCTTCATTAATTTCAGGAGGAATGAAGCTGCACGCAAGCTGGCAAAAGACTTTCTGCTTGATCTGCAGAGTGGGGCTTTGGATTTGTAAGATTTTATGTGGAGCATTGTTTTCATTAGCTGTTAGATATTTCACCAATTATAGAACATGTGTATACTCTTTAGATAATGTGATGTTTTCTTTTCCTTGCATGTCTCAGAGGTCCGGGGGTGAGTTCTTCATCTGTGAACAAGGCAGGACCGGCCAGTGATCCCAATTCTGATGAAGAAGTGGATGCCGGTGGAAAACGAAGACGGCATGGGAGGGGTTCTGCCAAGGAGAATGATCTTCTTTCAGCTGCTCCAAAGGCTCATCCTGTGAGTTCTGAGCCACGGAGGATTCAAATTGATGTTGAACAAGCTCAGGCTCTTGTGAAAAAGCTTGATTCAGAAAAAGGGATTGAGGACAATCTATTATGTCGGGCTGATAATGAGAGAGTGAACAGAGATAAATCTCATGGTAGTTCCACAGGACCAGTCATTATTGTTCGTGGTTTGACTTCAGTCAAGGGTCTGGAGGGGGTTGAATTGCTTGATACACTTATTACGTATCTATGGCGCATTCATGGTGTGGATTACTATGGAATGCTGGAGACCAATGATGCGAAGGGTCTTCGACATGTTAGAATGGACAACAAAAATTCTGACTCAACAAGTAATGGGGCAGAGTGGGAGAAGAAATTAGATGTTCATTGGCAAGAAAGGCTGAAGGGACAGGATCCTCTTGAACTAATGACAGCAAAAGAGAAGATAGATGCAGCGGCTGTTGAGGCACTGGAACCTTATGTCCGCAAAATTAGGGATGAGAAGTATGGATGGAAGTATGGCTGTGGAGCTAAGGGCTGTACCAAACTCTTTCATGCGGCTGAGTTTGTTCATAAACACCTGAAATTGAAACATCCGGAGCTAGTTATGGAGTTGACGTCGAAAGTGCGTGAAGATCTCTACTTCGAAAATTACATGAAGTAAGTTTCTTTGTTGTGTTATTTGCCTCATGAGACCTTGCAATTGTAATGATGATTTGTTACTTTTATGCTTTACAGCGACGAGAATGCTCCAGGGAGTACACCTATCATGCAACCAGCCTTACCGGTATGACGTTTTTGGTTTTTGTATTTATACTTAATGCTGATGATGTTCTGTTTGGTGCTTCCTACCATGTTGATGTTGAAGTGTGGTGGAAGAAATGCATCTAGGTTAGAACTATACTAGATGCTGGGCGAGGATTTATGTTCATGTTTTAAAGATATTTTCTATAGCTGAGCTTGTTTATTTGAGGATTGGCTATATATCTCTGTTTATATTTGGTTTTATTTGTCTTTGCAAACACATATTAATGCCTTGGCATGCTTTGTTTTCATGGGGACATGGTTAGTTAACTCTCAATTCTGTTGTTTGTTGGATAATAAGCTGCTGAGATGCTAGTTTGCCTCCTGTAGATCAAAAGTAACAGTGAACTAACTGTAGGTTTTCTTTCTTGCACAAGTTTTTGATGGGAGAAACTTTTTCGGTGCTGCTCAAGCATGTGCCCAATTAAAAGAGATCTCAAACACTTATGTTTGAAAGTTGTGAAACAAAGTAGAAGTTTTCTGTAATCAGTCCTCAAAACTTAAAAGTGTCGTAAGTTTCCTATGTCGTAAGTTTCCTCAAAACCCAAGTGTTATGGATTTTTAGGCATCATACTGAGGCAGAGTCCTTTTTTTTCAACAACCCTTGACGCAGAAATGTTTCTGATTGAATTTCAAATGTCCTGAGATTTGAAAATTCCTGATAGAGGGGGACATCTTTTATGGACTTCATAAATGTTGTGAATTTAGATGGGTTCATTATTGACTTTACTACCAAATGAATTTTTTGATCATATTCAATGCTGAAAAATGTAGCACCTGACTATAAAGTCTCTTACAATAGCTCCGATTAGGAAGCTTGGATTTAGGAGGTTCTTGCAGAGCTGCAATTTCTTATAGGTACTCTTGACTAAAGGATTTTAGAAATTTCTGAATGAAAAGTATCAAATTACGGATAGATGCATTATAGAATAACTTTAGTCATTAGATTAATAAAAATCGGGCGCAATTGAGGGCAAGCCCATTGACTGGGTTTTGGGGGCTCTTGCTTTTCTTTATAGTTTGTATTGTATGAATTTAGATAGGGGAAGGGGGCAGGTAGACTGTGAAATTGCCCAGATGTCAGGAGTGGCTGTTTTTGAGAAAATTGTAGGAGCAGATATGGAAGTTGCCACGGTCTTTAGCATGAGTGCTCGCAGCATGATAAAATATATCAGTAAACTACTGTTGTGTATCATATTTGTTTTCTTTGTGTTTCGTGTTTTTTGTGAAGTTGATGCTCCATTTGCCATTGTATTTTCCCATCTCTGGTCTTTTTGTATGCTGGCCTAGAGGCTGGGTTTATTTGGATTCCCAGCACCCTTCTATTCCTTTTTTGTACATGTTTCTCCCCCAGTATTATCTGCACTATTATAGCTAACTGCACATCTGTTGGCTGAAGCCCGTTATTTGTTTGCTGGTGTGTCACTGCTCAGAGTCTGTTCATGCATGCTAGCTTCTTGCTTAGTTTTAAAATGCGAGAGGCGTGCCGAGGCGATAAGGGCCTTGAGAGCCGAGGCGTGAGGCATGAGGCGAAAGCGAACGCCTCACGTATGCGAGGCGAACTCCTTCATAAAATATATTAAGATATATGTCGTATAATATAGTGAATAAACAAGTAATTTCAATATTATAGGTGTCAATTATAGTTTTAAACATATGAATATAAAAGTTAAGGGATCAATTTGTTAAAATATTATACTATAACAGCATATTTGAAAAGTCTATGGAAGTCAAATTGATTTTATTCAGCCCATGTCAAATGGGCCTTCTTCCATGGAGTAGCAAATGGCCCAGAGAAATTCTTTCTCTATCTTTCTCCTCAGCCGCCGCTGCATTTCAGCCGTCCTCTCTTCTTCTCTTTTTTCTCTCCTTCTCTCACGATCGACCGTGGTCAACGTTCAGGCATCCTCCTCCTCTCTTCTCCTCTTTCTCTCTCTTTATTCTCCTTCTGACGCCTGACCGTCCTCTCTATTCTTCTCTCTTCTTCTCCTCTCCAGATCTTCCATGGTCTGCCATGGTCAACAGCTCCCAAATCCAGTCAAAAGGTTGGAATACGGGAGGCGAGCGCCTCTTGCGCATCACGCTTTGGAGTGAGGCGAGCGCTTTTTGCGCATCCTACTCGCCTCACGTAATCGCATCGCATCACCCTCCATGATGCGATGCCCTTGTCGCCCAACCTCAAGGCGCGCTTTTTAAAACTAAGGCTTGTCAACATGCCAGTCCCTTTTGTCATGGTCAACATCATAATCTTGGATTGTTCATCTTTTTCAGAAAGAGAAGCCTTTTCGGCGTAGACCAGGATTAGAAAATCGACTAAAAGATGATAGAGGTCGTAGAGAACGCGAGAATCGACTTAATGGTGGATTTGATAGATCTGAGAATTCCCAACAAGGGGACTTCCAATCTAATAATGATGGCGTCGTTGGGGCGACTCCTGATGAAGCAATGTTTGATGCATTTACTGGTCCTGGAATACCTGTTGCACCGTTCTCTTCAGAAATACCTCCTCCCCCAGTACTGATGCCTGTCCCTGGTGCCGGGTATGTAGTATTGATGCAATATTCCGCTGTTAATAAAATCTTGTGTGGTGACTGTGTCTGTAACCACTTTATGTTTCACAAGACTTACTATCTTTCTATGCAGTCCTTTGGGACCTTTTGTCCCTGCTCCTCCTGAGGTTGCGATGCAGATGTTGCGGGAACAGGGAGGTCCTTCTCCTTTCGAAGGAATTAGAAATGGGAGGGCAGCGCCAGCTCCCATTATAGCTATGCCACAAGGCTTCAGACAAGACCCTCGACGCTTACGAAGGCAAGTTGCTGAAAGCTACTGATTTTTATATCTTTCATTTATTACTATTTTTCTTTTTTCCAACACCTGTGGCCATAGGCTTTGCGCGCGAAAACTTTCATCCCTAGGACTCCCCTTGGCATATGAATCTTGCTTTTATATGTTTGATCCCGTGTGTATTCATTCTTGCTGTATGCTTGGGGTGTAGTATGCTGTTGTCCAAAGTATGGACCGGCAATGCGTGGGCAATTGATTTTTTTTGAATTATTTACCAATGTGATCCATGATGGGGGACGCAGTTTTGGTTCGTAAAAAGCTGTGTAAAGATAATTGAAGTGATGTAATTGTACAGTGAAGGTTTAAAAAGTTAATGTAAACTAAATGGTCAATTACCAAGTTCGTGTCAGTTTGGGTTTAAGAAAGGACAATCTACCTCTGGAGTGATGTTTTAAGCATTGTGAAATGGAGAACTTGTGTGGATGTTTAATTTTGTCGTAAACATGGGAATCATAACTAGATTGTAATGGGCAGACATGGTAAAGACTATTGTTTTAGTAGTATATTTTGTTGCATGTGATGTACATAAGCATGCCTAGCTATTTTTATTTTGTACTATTGTAGAATTACTGACCAAATATAAGCATTTGTGCAGTTACCAAGACCTTGATGCTCCTGAAGATGAAGTTACTGTGATAGATTACCGGAGTTTATAGGCTTGAAATTGAAGGAACCATTACAAATTTTTTTCCATTAGGACAGTGGGAACTTCAGGTTCATTTGCAAAAAGTCCAATCTCTTAGAAGTTGCAGTCAGAAGTATCGTGGGACAATTCTTGGCCAAGTACCCTTTGGTAACAGCTCAATCTAATTTGCCATACACACCCCAAGTTGTTTGCAGTTATTGTTGCAGGGGGTTTCGAAGTGTTTACAGGAAAATTGAAAGGCGGATGCATTGTATGCGTAGATTGTTTCGGGTATTCATTAGGTAGATTGGTATAATCTTTTAGTGCTTTGTTGTCTCAGAGTTTGGATGCTACTTTCATGCTCTGTTTGTAGTTCCTTTCTTTGGCTCTTTTTTTCTCCCCTGCTCATGGCATTGATGGTTTGATTTGTGTATACTAAGTTAATACGACTTCTGTAACGGAACTTGCAACATTGTTAAGATACGGTTACCACATGTTTTGCCTTCGGGCATTTGGACCTACCGGCATTCTCTGTGATTGGAATTGAAAGTCGAGAAGTTAAGTTTAACCTGAATGGAGAGAGCTACATAGGAAGATAAATTCTGTGTGGGTCAGTTTGTAATTTTGCTTTAGTTGATTTATCACGTTAGAAGTTGCACAGGAAATTGCATTAGTTTTGCAAATTGTGTATTTCATATGTTAATTGCATTAGTTTTGCAAATTGTATTACAGTTCTTCGTTTTCTTTTCTTTCTGTACATCAAATCTTCTTCCTCATGCCTGATTCCTGTATATTTGATAATAGGTTTTAAAGTGATGAGATGATTTATTGTCAGGAATTAAGATTAATTAGAACTCGGTACCGTGTTTCCCAACCGTAAAATAGGTTAATTTGAATTTTAGGCACGTTGCTCCGGAAGATGGGCATCTCGCGTGAAGGTAAAAGTGCGATAAAAAGGGAGTCTTCAAGAATGTTGGGGAATCTCTCAAATTAATAAAGTCGATACATTTTTTACGAGAAGAATGTGCAACTTATACAGCAGCTCTGCAGTCCAACTCAGAATTCTTCTCATTTTGGGTTTTGTTTGATAAAATTAGTGATTAATTTTGAATGCTTAATACAAATATATAAATGCTGAATTCATTAAAGAATAATCAATAAGTATTTATTGGTTATATTTTGTCTTGTAATTTTAACACCACTTAATTAATTAAAAAGTTTATTTTTTGTTATCAAACATGCTTAAATGAAGAAATATTTATTCAAATAATATTAAGAATTAAGTGTTGTTATCAAACAGATCCTTACTTGAAAATGTAATTATGTCTATTTGGGATTTTATAAAAAAAAAAAAAAAAGAAGTCATGTAATTCTTGTGGCGTGTATACTACTAAAAGAATTTGGCCTAATTTATTTATTTTCATTTCTCATCAAAATGGTTCGGAGAGAGATTATCTGGAATTAAAAATTCTGTAGTGTTGTAGGCTAGGAGTTGTCAAAAAAGGAAAAAAAAAAAAAAAATTCCTAACGACATTAGGAGTGTATGCAGACTTGATTAGTATTCATACATATCTCGTACGATAAGAAGCAGTCGTATCTCATGAAAATAACTATTGATTAATTAGTGAGTTTATTTAAATGATATGAAAATTCTTCACTAGAAAAAAACTACTCTATTTCTCTGCTGAATAGAAAACGTCGATGGCGGACATCAGCAGCAATGTCATGATCCGAAGCTTCTCCGAACTGCCTGAAGAAATCACTCACGAAATACTTTCTTTCCTCACAAACAAAGGAGTTCGATCAGCAAGTACCCTATCAAAGGATTGGTGCAGGGCATTCCGCACGCGCCCTAAACTGGTTTTCTCAATCCGCTCCCCATATATCCGACTCGCTTCGGACGATATTCGTCTTGTTTGCAACCCTAAAAACGGTGGCGGCCGGTACAAAACCGAACTCGGAATCGAGACCCAACTCAACTATATGATCTCCACTTTGCTAAGGTACCACGCCGAGGGTATCGATTTAGAGACGTTCGAATTGGATGTTAGTTACCACCCGCCACGTCTATGTTATGATAATACTACTACCAATCTTACGAATGAATGTATCATACTCGCAGCGGAAAGAGATGTGAGGAACCTTACTATAAGGAGTCATCATCATCAGGATGGTTTTTTCTTTGATCTGCCACAGTCGGTTTTCGACGCGAAAACCCTAGTGAGTTTGTGCCTAAAGGGTTGTAGTTTGAAGCGTGGCGAGAGATTAAAATGGTACAATCTCAAACGGTTGTCTCTTGAGGAAATGGATGATTTAGATGAGTTGATGTTTGAGAACATCATCAGGAGCTGCCCTTTGCTCGAAAGTTTCGCCGTGGATTGTTGTGCTAGGAAGATGAATGTTTTGAAGTTTACCAATCTTCATAACCTCAAGAAACTCTGTCTTGCTACCGGATCAGGATGTTGAAGTTGAAGCAACACCGAATATCGAATCCTTTTCCGCGCGCAATGCATGGTTTCCTACCTCGCGGGTTTATCTCCGGCATTGCTGTATCAGCACCTGAGAAGGTTATCCATTTGCTATGGGAGAATCCAGGACGAATTTTTCTCCGAATTTTCACAAAAGTTCCCACATCTGGAAGATTTGTCACTGCTATGCCTGGAGAGTATCAAAATTTCGAGTGTCTCCTTGAAGAGAATAAATCTGGCTGATAATGTTGGATTACAGGAGGCACAATTTCATGTGCCTAGTATTGTTCTTTTTCAATATGCTGGAGGGATCGAGACGAGGGTTTCATTTGTTAGTGCCTCAGAGAGATGGATGTCTCGTGTCAAGGTCAGATGCAATAAAAAAGCAGGCACTTTATGGTTCATGAAGTTAAAGGATTTTCTAACAAGATTAAGTCAATGTTCACAAGTTTTCGTTACTGCTGGTTTGGGATATAATGTGGATTTCAATTTAGATGAAGTGACGAAAAGTCCTGAGATTGCAGAATTTTGTGTTAACATTTGCCCGAATCACGAAAACTCGTTCAAGTATCCTAAACCATCTGCTCTTGCACTTCTGGGTGGTATATTTTGGGCGTGTCGTCCTTGCGCGATCAAAACCAGTTGGCATGTGAGTGGGTTCACAAAGATCCTGTACGAGTTTCTGGTTTTGAGAAGTGAACCTAACTATTTTGGTTCTCCACAAGTTCATTTCTGGAACAAGAGTTTCGAATTGGCGAAAGATATTGAGATATGCGATTCCAAAATGAACCGCATTATGCAGCTGCCCAGGACGTTGGATTGGAAGGCCTTTTTGAAGGCATTAGAAGCTCAGGATCTCGTGAATGTTACAGTTTGCTTCAACTTGCAATGGCAGCAAGCAAAATTTTCATGAGAAGAACATAGTTCTAGCTACTGCAGCCGCAGTTCAACTCCGAATTCCTCATTCATTTGGCATAGTTTACTCATCTCTGCCAAGGGGGATCTTTCAATTATTCAACAGACTCTCTTTTTCTTGAAAATGGTTTGCATCAGTTTTTAATTTATAGCCATATAGAATAAAGCAATCGCATTCTCTTCATTTTAATTCATTGTCATTACAATGTTTCATACTTCTGAAGTTTATTTAGTAGTATTTCTTTTGGCGCCGGAGATTATAATGTGGTCATTTTTGTGGCCTTCTGAAGACTAAATTCCTCTACATTCTTTTGGCTAAAATTACTCACAACTTCTTAGTCTTCTTCAGACTTGGTGGAATACTAATTCCTGTCAGATGTTACCTTGGTGATATGATATAGCTCTAGTACCACCGTGTGTTTTAAACAGTATCCATTAGCTTTCAATTAAGTCATCCCTTTTGATGAGTTCTTTAACTCCTCTTCACAAATTGTAACCATACATACACACACCATCTTAAACTTTCTTTCTGATTCAGTGGGAAACCTCACGGATCACTCCTTCAAGAGTCGCGTAGATATACTGCCTCAATGCAAATGCCAAAAGATCATCTATCAGGCAAGAGATAAAAAAAAACTTGAATATATATTTACCTTCTGAAAGCCTGCTGCATGTGTGAGTTTGTTTGCGCCATCCAAGAATATGGAATAATAAGAAGGAGAGATCTGATCCTACTGGCTAAACCTTTGGCCTGATCATCGTCAAACATCAAATAAAAGCATGAAGTCGGCGCAAATATTGAGAGAAGAGTTTACAGAGAAATGTATATACATTTTTAAAAGATATTCATCACATCAGTTTCCTTTTTATTCGTTCATAAATCGTTGATATATTATGTTCCAATCAATTGAACCTTAACCTTCTGTTTAGGAATTACAGCAGCAGCTTTTCGGCTCATTCATCTAAAGTCGACAGTGTGGAGTGATCGACATCCTTTTTTTTTTTTTGGATGAGTGGAAATATATGAAAATTGTAGCCAATAACAATACGACAGCATGTCAATGTGCAAGCTTTCGCTGTTGAACACTGAACATTTAGGATCATATAAAAGGAAATTAAATGCCAAATGTACATAGAATTAGTTGTGATCCCGGGTTTAATTTGAGTCTTTCGTTCGTACACAAGTAAGGAAAATTAATTTTCTGAGAAAACTATGATATTGATGATAACAGATACTTCCTTCGTCTCAAAATTTTTGTCCAATTTGGATTTTTCATTTTTACTTTAAATGATACTAAAAGTGAAATTTTAAACTAGTTAATAATTTTGGGACGGATGGAGAAACAATTTTAATATTTGGAAAGAGATTGTGCATCAGGAAGAACTTATACTACCTACTTGTAGAATTTTTTCCTTAAATATATTTGAAAAAAAAACCTGGACAAAAATAAAATTTTTTAAAATCTTGTGGACAAATTTATATGCCCCGGATTTAGGAAATTCGAATGGGGGCAAAACTCAGATTTCAGAAATCCGACCCCTAATAAACTCGGATTATTAAAATCCGACTTTGTGTTACGTAAATTCGATATTAAGTTAATGAAAAAATTAGTGTAATTAATCTAAATCCGGATTTTATAAATCCGTTTCTATGAATAAAATATTAATTTTCGGATAGAGAAAAAATAATGTGTTGAAAAATTAAATTTAGGCAGAACTCGGATTACCGAAATCCTAATCTCCTCTGTTTTCTGAAAAATGGTGACTCTCAGTTGGCCACGGACTCAGATTTCCGAAATCCGAATCCTTTACAAAAAGTCTGGGTTTGGATTTCGCAAATCCGAGTCTTTGTCAGAACTGAAAAAAAAAATTGGACTGATTTTCACCAGTCTTAAACCTGTTTACAGCACCAACAACAATGAAACATTGGAAAACAGGAATTTAATGGCAACAAAACAATAAACGACATTCGATTAACAACAAAACAAATCAAGTTTCAAAAAAAAATCAATACAAAAACTACTTTAAATGTGCAAAATAATGAAATGTCTCATTTTTTCCCTTTTCCTTTATTGTGCGCATCCGGAGTGTATTTGTTTGGGCCCTGTCGGATCCTGTCTCCCCTCTTAAGATACGTGAGTATTGAACTTTGTTGTGGTTGCGACTGTCCACCAAACTGAGCCTCGATTTGGGGTTGGGATTGGGACTCTCCCATGGCGATAAATTTGACTCCCGGTTATGGTTGCGACTGTCCACCAAACTGAGTCTCAGGTCCACCAATGTCAAACTGAGTCTCGGGTCCACCAAGGTCAAACTGAGTCTCGGGTCCACCAGCTTCTTCAAAATGAGTCTCGACCTGGATGCGCGAGCCTCGAGAGGAATGTGCTTGATCCTCATTTTGTTGACCCTTAATTTGTTGTTGCGATGTTCGAGGGGGAATTGTGACCTTCCTCTTTCTTCCTCCTCCAATCTTATCTCTCGACCACGGTTTCGCTTTTTTACCCGGTGGAGGTTGTGAGGGCAAAAATGGATCTTCATCAACCAGGATTTGGGTATCCTCCACCTCCATCTCATCATTTGCGCCCAAGGTTAAAGCAACATGTGTTTGATTGATGATATCGTCCAAATGCTTGTCAAGTTCTTCGTCTAGGAGATTATCATCTTCTCGTTTTTCTCTAAACCTCTCGGTACTCACGCGAATGTTGTTCAATACTTCACCCTGAAAAGAAATTGGGACGTTAATTAAGAGAGTAAAGTTCTAAAAAAATAAAAAATGAAAAAAAAAAATGAAAACATAAGAAATAATAAAAAAAATCTAGAATTAACTCACATATAATTTCACGCGGCTCGAAGAAGTCTCGTATCCTTGAGGTTCATAATTACCGGGATTGAATATCAGTCTGACAGTGTTCACCATGAACCATTCATAGTACCCCTCATATACGGAACCAGGATCTCCTTCCTCCAAATCTCGTAGCACGAACTCTTCTCTCCTATTCCAATGACGGTGTACTGCGGAATGGTGATCCACCCAATTATTGCTAGGATACCCAGACATACTGTGGGCGTGATCGAGAAGGAATGCTGCGTTATCTTTAATCATAGGGCGCTTGGGAACATCCTGTATGTATCCAAATTGTCTTACGACTCTGCCCGACTCGTGAGGTTCCCTAATAGCCCAACAGAACATCCAACACCTAGTCGTCCAAATGGCTTGGCCTTGTGTACAGAAATCAGAGAGTCTATGGAGAACATGTGCATATGGTTGCCACCGAAACTGCAGGAAAAGAATTTCATTAGATGGTACAACCGAAACCAAAAGAAAGGGGTAATTGATCTCAAAGTAAATATAAATACCAAATTACAAGTACTTACATCTTCAACACGCAGACTTGTTAATTGATCTCTAAAAGGTGGAGTGCTGCTCCTTGGGGCGTCGCCGTAGGTGTACCTACATTCCCACCTTAATAAACAAAGGGGTACATTTGAATTAGTGAAATAAATGAATAAGAAACAAATAGAATTAAACGTTGAGTTATTTTGAACTGAAAATACGTACCGCTGAGCTAATGGAGCGGTCTCATCAATCAAAATAATCTACTCCTTTTCTTTGGGGCGCGATCCTCTTGATCCGCTCATACGCCCATACCTAGTAAATTGCAATAATAATGTTAAAACTTCAAATTATAACGTCGAAAGCGCAAAATAATTAAAACACAAAATGAAAACTAATACGTACCTGTAGCAAATATAGACACCCAGTGACGTCGTGCATGGTATACTGTGATGCCTCGCATAGTCCAAAGTACAACCCAGCCAGCAGTGCCGATCCCCAACTGTATCGACTACACTGATCCAAATCCTCAACCTGGGCCAAGAACTGTAGATTGACAGTGTTCTGCGTCTTGTTCGGAAACATGAAACTGCTAATAAAATGCAGTATAAGTGTCCTGGCCCTTTGCTCAAATCGATGGACATTGGAATTTTTAGGTAGTGCACGGCCCATCTCATCTTCGAAAATACCAACATTGACACATTGGCCATTTACAGTCGCCGGCCGGAATCCCAAATAAGCCTCAATCGATCCCGCCATTCATCTGCAGTCCAGCTAACTGTCGTCCCGTACACCGGGTCACCATCCACCCGAATACCAAACAGGACCTCGACGTCCTGTAGCGTCACCGTCGCCTCTCCGAAATTAAAATGGAAAGTATGGGTTTCTGGCCTCCACCGTTCCACCAACGCGGTAATGAGGCCTAGATCAACTCTTTTGTACCCTACCTTCATGATCCCCTCAAAACCGGCTCTCCTAATGACTTCCTTAACCTCCAGTGCCGTATTTTTGTATAACGCCCAAAAATCGCTGTCGTACCTACGACCCTTGAGGCGGAATGTTTTAATGTCCGGTATCTTGTTCTCATAGACAGCTTGGGACCTATGCTTTGTTTGACGATATAGCATTTTATCTTGTATAGGTCCCGGGTGAAGATGTTTAGGTTGATAGTCATATTGCGAGCCCGATGCCGGCGTCGCCATTTCAATCCTACACAAGGTAACCAATACCACTTCAATCAAAATAATGATGATGCACAAACCAAATAACATATACACTCGGCCAAAAAAAACAATTCAACCAAACCATATACATTCGGCCAAATAACAAAACTACCGAACGATGTACACTCGGCCAAAAAAAACAATTCAACCAAACCATATACATTCGCCAAATAACAAAACTACCAAACGATATACACTCGCCAAAAAATATAACTACCAAACCATAAACATTCGGCCAAATAAACAAAACTACCAAACCATATACATTCGGCCAAATAAACAAAACTACCAAACTATATACATTCACAATTCACAATTCACACAACTTAAATCCAACACAAACACTATATAAAAACCACTAACATTCGCAATTCACAATTCACACAACTTAAATCCAACACAAACACTATATCAACACCACTAACATTCGCAATTCACAATTCCCACAACTTAAATCCAACACAAACACTATATCAACACAAACCAACACAATTCAAAATAAACTAAACCACAACAATACACATTAGAAAAAAAAGGACTCAGATTTCACAAAGAAAAAAAAAATATTTGACAAAAAAAAAATAAAGAGAGAAACAAAAAATTGCAACTTACCGTGAAGAGTGGAGGAAGTCGGGAGGAGTGGAGGAAGTCGCCGGAGGTGGAGAGAGTCGGAGGCAGTCGCCAGATTGCAAGGAGGGTCGCCGCATTATCCAGAGGGTGGAGGGTCGCCGGATTTAGTAGAGGGAGTGGAGGGTCGCCGGAATCTGGAATTGGAGTCGCCGGGAGGAGTGGAGGGTTGCCGGATATCACGGAGGGAGTGGAGGGAGTCGCCGGATTGAGTGGAGGGAGTCGGCGGAATTGAGTGGAATTGGAGGGAAGTTTTTAGGGTTTTTAAAATCTGGATTTGGGGGAAAAATGGGAGGGGAAGAGTTGACCGGCTATATATAGTCCCGTCAAACTCGGATTTGCCAAATCCGAGTCTTCACTATTTCCCTCAAATTTCAACTCTCGGATGGTTTCACAAACACGGATTTCTGAAATCCGACTCCTTTGCAAATTGAAAAAAACTCTGAGCTCGGATTACCGAAATCCGAGTTTTTACTGTTTCTCCTCAAATTACAACTCTCGGATGCTTTTAACCAATTCGGATTTTTGCAATCCGAGTCCTTTGAAAATTCAAAAAAAACTCTGAGCCCGGATTTCTAAAATCCGAGTCTCCCTTAGAAAACCTCAAATTGCAACTCTCGGGTGGGTTTCACTAATTCGGATTTCAGAAATCTGAGTCCTTTGCAAATTCAAAAAAAGTCTGAGCTCGGATTTCTAAAATCCGAATCTCCCCTGTTTCTCCTCAAATTGCAACTCTTGGATGGGTTTTACCAATTCGAATTTCAGAAATCCGAGTCCTTTGCAAATTCAAAAAAAAGTCTGAGCTCGGATTTCTAAAATCCGAATCTCCCTTGTTTCTCCTCAAACTGCAACTCTCGGATGGGTTTCACCAATTCGGATTTTAGAAATCCGAGTCCTTTGCAAAATCAAAAAAAAAGTCTGAGCTCGGATTTCTAAAATCCGAATCCCTTAGAAACCTTAAAATGATGAGTATTTTGCACAATCCGAAAACCTGTTATGAAAAATAGTACATATTTCATCACACTTTACAATCCGAAAAATTCAATGTTCACATTACAATCCGAATTTATCAATGTTCACATAAATTTACCAAACACTAAATAACTTGCAAGAACACTAAATGACTCTCAATTCCAGCTGTCATTCACAGGTCTTCTATCTACTCCTGGGTGCGAGAACGGGCAAGAATTGACATCATGACCTAGTTGTCCACATCTCCAACATTCCCCCCGGCTCCGGCGTCCCCTGTAATCCATTTGCATTCTATGTCTCCTTTTTTGTCTTCGTCCCGGTCCCGCATGCAACACAAGACGCTCATAATTCGGAATGATGTTCCAATTGACCATCGGCCATTGTTCCTCATCGAGAACCGGAACAAAGCCTGTGTAATGAAATTGTCTGCGCCACATTGGAAGGCGCCACACACTATGGTATAGATCAATAGGCCGATCCCCTTTTCTCCGACAAACTTGGAGTGCGTGTGTACAAGGCATCCGGTACTCTTGCCACTTCCTACACGAACACCTATGTTCATCGTAGTTCACCGTATGCAGAGACCCACCCCTGCCACTTAGGCGTGTGGCAGTAACAACACGCCACATAGCATCATCACCATCGAAAGGGGTGGCTTCAAAACTGGCTGCTTTGTCATTCATTTTCTCGTATTTTTTCCATAACTCAGGAGGGATCGGTGTCATGCAATTTCTCACAGACAATTGTTCTTCTCTATAGAATTTAACAGTTTTGCGAAAGGTTGCATCGATCAAGGCTCTAATTGGTAAAAAACGGATCCCTTTCAACGTATTGTTGTAACTCTCAGAAATGTTGGTTGTCGCTATGCCCCAACGGCGAAGACCGGCTTTCAATCGAGCCCAGTTACTCCCTCCAATCCCTCGAAGATACTCCCATGCAGCAGGTTTTGAATTCAATAAGCTCTGCCCTCATACGGTTGTATTTCACTCTTGAAAGCATCGTGCCCATCTTCCAACATAACCACTTCACCTTTTTGCTATTATATCGCGACACAAGATTGCTGCGAACGTGGCGGAGGCAAAGAAAGTGCCCACCATCACCTAAATCACGTCATTCATCCATCTGTGACATTGCGCTCAACAACCCTGCATTCCGGTCGGATATCACACTTACGATTCTATCATACACAACCCACAACCTCAAATTCCTCATAAAAAATGTCCAACTCTCTACTGTCTCCTCATCCAAAATCGCAAACGCAACCGGTAAAATGTGCTTGTTTGCGGTATAGACCACCGCAACAAGCAATTTACCCTTGTATCCACCACGCAAAAAGGTTCCATCGATACAAATGACCGGTGGACATTCAAAAAACGTCTCAGCCACCGGTGCAAATGACCAGAAGACGTATTTAAATGTCCGGTTTCCCCTGTTCCAACCTTCTTGTCCCTCCTTCCATTCCCACTCTACTACAGTATCAGGATTAGTAAACTTAAGTGCAGCGATATACCTAAACAACAACAAGTCATTGTTAAAATAGTTCAATACATGTAAAAATAAAAATACTAAAAATATTTCAATACACGGATAAAAGTTGATATTTACCGTGGAAGTTCTTCGAAATTGGAGGTCCAATCACCATAGACTGCTTCTATGGCTTTCCTCCTCCCGTGCCACGCCCTTTTGTATGGCACATCTACTTTCAATAAGGTCTTCACATCTTTCTGTGCCGAGGCTACCGTATAATCTACGTTGTCCTCAACCTTTCTCCTGATGAGTCTAGCAATCAAAGACGCGTCCACTCACGATTGTCATTATCATTCACAGGAGTCATGCAATTATGTGCATCATGCCATCTCACAATTTCATGAAGGCCGTGAGCTTTCAATGACACACGCATCTTCCACTCACATGGTGGTTCACCATCCTCACTTTCCACATTAAATGTTCTGCACCGCACAGCCCACGTCCTTGGACTACTCGCGGCGACCGTATATTCCCTTTTATGATGGATGTTCCATAATTTCACAAAGATGCTTTGCTTCGATTGAGATTTGAAACAAACACCAATGTCCATTCCTTCGGGCGTCTCATCCCACATCTTAAGAGCAAACTCATCCTTGTCTACACATGAGGCATCCCAGTTCCCCATCTTACTATATACATGGCGTCGGGCCAATAGATTACAATTCCTTTCCTCATTTTCCAACCTTTCATCATCACTTTCTTCAAAATCACTCTCTCCGGAGACATTACAGTCTTCTTCGCTTTCACTTGGAGCTATGTAGTCGGAATCCGACTCTTCCCGGTAGTCATTTTGTGCAAATAAAGGTGTCTCCTCTTCATCACGGTTTCGAGAAGTACTAGCACGTTCCCCCCTTGGAAAACCACCAAATGACACATTTTCCAAAATCGCTTCTCTTTCTTCTTGAGTGATACATGGTGACACGTTGTCCACGTTCATTTTTTGGACAGAATTATATTACTCGGATTTCTGAAATCCGAGTTCCGATTAAAATTAGAGATTCGGATTTTTCAAATCCGGGTTTATACTTAATAATAAAATAATAATTTCATAAATTTTGTTGAATAATAGTTTTTTAAAAAATCTTAAATGAACAGTAAAGCTCGGATTTGTGGAATCCGACTTTAGTTAAAAATTAATAAATCGCGGCACGAAATTTTTGAATCCAAAAAACCGGAAGTCCGTAATCCGGTTTTAGGAATTCGGATTTTGGAAATCCGTCTGCCTTTAATTTTGGTTGGTGGAAGTAGGAAGGTGCCTTAAATTGGAGGACCAAAAAATTAATAAAATAATCCTCAATTGACTAAATCCGGATTAATGAAATCCGAATCTAACGTAATTCGGATTTCGAAAATCCGAGTTACTTACGGACTCGGATTTCGTAAATCTGAGTTTAACGTGCTATAAAAGAAAAAAAATTTCAGGCAGTTCTCATTCAAGAACTGAGTTGGATTTTCTGTTTTTGCAGCTCAAACAAGGGCGAATTGGAGTTTTTGATGCCTTCTTGCCTCTAGATACGTGGAAATCGTTATTTGAAAGAGGTTAGATTGCAAAACCATGTTATTTAGTTTAGTTTTGTGTTATTTTGATTGTTAGAATGATGTATGATAGATTAGGGTTTATGTTGGTTGGTTGTTTGGATGTTTTAGGTGTTGATTTTGAGGTTAGAAATGAGAAATCATAGTTGTTCATGAGATATCGAAGTTGATTTATAAGTATTTTAGTATGGTGTATTTGTTGGAGTATGTATAGTGTATGGTGTATGGTGTATCTTAGAGATGAAGAAAGTAATAATTGACCCTAGTAATATAATTCTATCCACAAATATTCTGAAAAATTTAAATTTGTCCACGTTTATTTTATTTAATTTTTTTTGGGAAAAAGCCCCCTACTTGTACTGCGTTCCTCATCCGCAAAATCTGTTAATTTGAGCATTTAGGCATGTTGCTCCTGTTTTGTATTTTTCTACCAAAGAAAAGAATTTATTTGAATACTCCAATACACTTGGTACTTCTTTAAACCAAACAAAAAAGGCCCACAAAAGTTATTATTTCCACATGAATTTCGTTACCTAGGCCCCAAAATTAATTATATTCCCCTTCACATCCTTTATATTCGTTCTAAAGAAAAAAATATGTCTATTTCTTTTACAGATACCCCCCAGCGAGGAGATTGTATAAATACGAAAAGTGCTTCGCTTAAAACCTGTACCACTTTTCAAGTAAGAACTCGAAGGCGGGTAAAAGTCACCATGGAGTTGGAGAAGAAGCCAGAAGGATCTCACCGGCGAACGGACATCATCCAGAGTTGCAAAATCGGTTCCGTTCCGCCGACTGTCTTTTACGTCTCCGATTTCATTTCCGCTGAAGAAGAGCAACAACTCCTCAATAATGTTTGTTCTTTTATTCAACCCATCTCTTTTACTAATTTTAATTCAATTCGTTGATTTTATGTTGTGGAAAGTCCTAATCGAAGAACTTTGCTATTTGTTCACGGAATCCGCTTATTGGCGTTGGTGTTGTTCTTGTTTTTGTTAGGTTTATAAAGCTCCAGTCGCCAAGTGGAAAGTGTTGAAGAACAGGAGACTTCAAAATTGGGGTAATTTTAATTCGCCACTTCTGCACCAAGAGCTTTTCTGCTTTTTTTTTTTCTTTTTTTTTTTCCTTTCTTAAAGTATGGGAATTATAGTGCAAATGATTCTGTTTGTATGATGATTTCTGTTGACAGGTGGTGTTGTGCACGAGAAAGGTCTTCTAGCTCAAGATTGTAAGTTTTTGAAATTTACATTTTATTGCTTTCCTTTGGATTGAGTTAAATAATTAATGAATTCAATTGGTGAAGTCCAAAGCGTTATTTTCGTCTTTGTTGTAGTAGAAACGTAGTAACTAAAGTTGAAATGCAATCGAAACTTGTTAAAGTTTTCTATACATGTATGTGATGCCTCATGTAGAAGTACAACTGCTGCTAGATAACATACTTGATGCATGGTTTGGTTGTGAGCTTAGGCTTAAATGCTGCTGTGCTTACATTTGAGTGAATATGAGCATTTCATTTAGTTCAGAGTACTGAGTCAGAGCAAAACTTGAAACATTTTTGTTTTTTAATTCAGTGTATCTCTCTACTTGTAACAGTACCTCCTTGGCTAACAAGAATCACCAGGAGGATATTTGATGAGTCTGGTGGAATGTTTCCCTCACCGATTAATCATGTACTCATTAATGAGTATCTTGCTGACCAGGGAATAATGGTGCGTTCCTAGCTCTTTTTGTAATTTGTGTGTTCATTCAACATCATGTTTGTATATTGGTTGTGCTTGATAGCGGAATATGATAGCTCGTTTTTCATTATGGTGTACGTGATTATGGTTGTTTTTCCACTTCCTTTGCCATTTATTTTGCCGCTTCAAATTAGTTTGCGTGCATTATACAATGAAGCATGTTGTTCCCAAAACTCATAATCGTGGTCTTTTCGTACAAGGGAGTCACCAGGACGGAGAAAAGGGGAATAAAGAAAGTAAATGATGCATTTTCTGACAACAATTTTGTGTATATTGCAGCCACATCAGGATGGACCTGCTTACAGTCCAGTTGTGGCCATTTTGTCTCTGGGTTCACCGGTCGTTATGGATTTCACTCCTCATCTTAGCTTGCAAGTGGCGGAGGCAGGAACAGTGCAAAACAGGGATACTGAGAATGAGCATCAACCATTTTCTGTTCTACTGATGCCCCGAAGTTTACTTATTTTTAAAGATGAGGTGTATTCAGGTGTGTTCCCACTTCATCTGTGGCTCGGAAAATTTATATTTCTGGAAACTTGAAACATGTTTGGCTTGTAGGAGGCATTGGACTTGCTCAGTATGAAAGTTAAAAGAGTTACACGAAGCTTACATCATCTCAGTTTCTATAAATAGTACAGTTCAATATGCTCGTTGTGCGTGTTTGATGTGTCTTCTTTGATTTGCAGACTACTTGCATGGGATAAAAGATGATGAGCATCAGCAGGTTGATCAGGTATGATTGAATTGTTTCTTACGGCTTCATTTGAAGAGGGTTGAACATTCACCGGGCTAGTTGCTGTAGGTTGGTTTTTTAATTGTGCTTAATCCATAATTCAATGGATTCTCTTTACAGGTTATCAACCGAGATGAAATAACAAAAATTCCAGAACAAATCCAATCTGTAGCACCGGTCTCAGGGGTAGAAATAGGTGGCAAGAGAACTGAAGGTGGCAAAGTAATTCATAGGACTACCACCAGAGTTTCTATGACTTGTCGAACAGTGACAAAAGTCCATAAAAGTTGGCTCAAAGTTTAGAGTATCTGCCATCCCTTCCTAAGAGTGCTGTCGCGAAACAGATGCAAATGATGATAATTCCTTCTATCTAATATAGTCATCCGTAACTGAGGTACAAGATTTCATTAGCTATGTAAGTAGGAGGCAAAGGAAATTTTTTGACTAGACCACCGCACAATGGCAGGTTGACATGAATATTGTAGGAACCTATGATTCTGATAAAAGTTGTGAATTACAGGTTGACAAAAATGAAGATGGAGACTCTTTCGATGCTGAGGATTCCTTTGATATTGCAAATGCTTTTGTTAAGTTTCTGCTTTTAGACTTAGCTAGTATGAGGCTGCTGATTCTGTGGCGATAATTGTTAAAGATTAAACCTCTGATTTGGACTATTTTTGGAAGAGGTGAGATTGAAAAGGTAATTCTTCTGATGTTGATAGGTTGGTGCCTGAATAATTTGATTCAGGTGGATGTGAATACTATTTCTTTGTTTATGAGTATTGGAACAGCACAAGGACAGATAATCTATTCAAGCGTATGCTTGGTTTTCGAAATTGTGGACTTCGTTTGAATTATGATACAAAGGAATTCTTGGTTGATATTAGGGTTATTACATGAAAGAAAAAGTTCAACGCATTAGGTTACCTTTGTGAATTAATAGTGTTCGCAAAGTATCCCCTCAAAGGCTCAAACAAAGTGTTTTTTTTTTTTCTAATCTTTGACAGCGACAGGGTTAATGGGGGACTGTTTATCAATTTTATGGAATGCAGCTCCGAATTCAAAAAGTCTCAGTTTGTGTGGGTGCCCTAGTCATTTGGCCTTTCAATAGATAAAGCCTAGAGGGGAATTTGGGGGACAAGTTGCTAGTTTTGGAAATCATCAAACGTATGATAACATCAATCCTGAAAGCTTTGAAATCCTAGTTTTCGTTTCAACTACTGTCAAGTTTTAGGGTGGAACTTATCATGGAGGATTTGTTCTTATCTCAGGTTGCATATATTGACTGAATTGCCAAGGTTTGTGCTGCGCAGACTTGGGTTTTTCCATTCAGACTACAGTGACGAACACATAAAGACAATGTCCAACGTGCAAATAAAGTGAATCTTGCGTATTTTGGACAGTGTCCAAGCCTTCTATCCTGAAGTTAACCGAAGTCTACGCACACTGCAAACCCTGTATTTGTGGTCTTCCATGGGGCCCATGGTAAAAAGTGACTTAACAATGTTAACAACCTTGTCAGGTTTGCCATTAACCTCGACACCATCTGGTCTTCATACGGATCAGCCGGAATTCAGCAAATTCGTCAAGGACTTGCGTTCCTTGTTAAACCAACGACCCAAATGACACTCTGATGTATTGAGTGGGACAGAAATGAGATCACTGAATCGGGCACATGGTTCCTAGAAATTCAAGGGCCAGAAAGCACGAGAAAAAGCAAAGGAAATTGCGAACAAAGATCTTGCCTGCACAATATATAACCCGTGTACAATGTAAGTTGCCATATTTGGAAACATCCATGCCAAAGCCTAAAAGGTCCACACATGATCCTCGAATTTACAATGAATGAAAACTGATCCTATGTACCAAAAGGGAAAAAAGACAAACTTCCTCTGTTAGGAGACAGACTCACTGTACGCAAAAAATTAGTCAGTCACACCCCTCCTAATCTACACTACTCATGTACTTGCAAAGCTGGTCGGCAAAATAGCCCAAAGGACTTCTATTTGCGCTGCTTTTTTGACGGAATTTGTAGTCGTGGCTCAACCTGCAACACAATCATTTCTTACATTAAAGAATAGTTGCTTACTCTGGTTAGAGATAATTGTTTAGATTCAGGAGGAACAGCGACAATGATTCGCTTGCATTATCGGATCTTGAATTTTAGTCTCATTCATAATTATGAAGAGGATCATATCGGAGGCATAACAGGCCACTGACAGTTTAGAGTTTAGACACCGGTGTGGTACATGTTACAGTCATCAGTGAATACAATACATGCAGTGATCACCCACATATGCCATGCAGGGGAAATGAAAATGATACAACATATTATATGCTTTCCTCCACTATTACTTGATTGAAAAATCCAATCCATCAGTTAGCGGCTTCACTAATAAGATATTACAACTTTTTGGTACACTGTGCTTGTCTGCTAGATACTTTGATTTAAAATCCACAAACCAAAATCCTGGAATTCCTTGGATAATATGCAATTATATTAGTCAAATGCCTGGAACTATAGGCGATACACCAGAAAGTATCTTATCAATGAAACACGAGAGGGATGTCGAAGGCATTTAGATGAGTTAGGACCAAAACCTTTTCTGTAGTTTTTTAGTTTCAGTTTCTTGCAGTTATCTACTGTCCATTTCTTCCCCTAAAGTGGACTAAGGGAGAAAAAAGAAAATGAAAAAACAAACGTGCATTCATCCTATAAGCATGAAGTGGAGAAAAACGTATCCATAATCCAAAATCAATCCCCGAACAAAGGCTACCCTTGCACTTCGCAAGGAAGGCTGCTCCCAATTTCCAACTGGTGACCCAGCCACAGAGGCAACTTGGTGGTTGTGACAGAGACTCGCCCTGTGTTAGCATTACAGTACTGATCCGCAACCATAAAGTATAGAAGCTAAGGAGAGTTATAGAGTGACATGGATATAAGTCCATAGCATTCAAAGCAGCTCATTACCTAGCTAATCTGCTTCGCTAAGCTGGACTAAACGAAGGGGAGAAACCTCCACAAAGAAATTAAATAGCCTCTTGAAGCAAATTAATGCAAATAGTTGAAAAAAGAAATGTATCAGAGCTTACAGCACAAGAAAGCTGCTCACGGATGTAGGCCATGGATCTCAACATAGCACCTAAAGTATCCTTCGACACTTGAAATTTCACCTCTGACTCTCCCAGAGTTGTTTCAGTGTCTTGAAGCTGGAAAAATTCCGGAAAAGAAAGCTTATAATCAATTCCACAAGAACATAATGACATATATAGAAACTACTTAATTGCAAAAGACAATAATTACATCCTCCAAGCCAAGAAAAGATTCATATTTGCGCAAACATGACCTTTTTCGGGACAGAGGTAGTACGACTCTTGAAGCCTAAAGGTCAAGCCGTCAAAGATTAACATCAGTTCATTAATGAAGACAGAACTTTTCTTATAAATTCCTTCTGGATTGTCAAGTGATACTTGAATCTTGCTAATTTTAGGATTCCAATAAAAGGTAAATTTCGTGAATTTAAGTAATTTTTACAAGATTTACAGACTGAAACAAAATTGGACCTCAGACCTTTAAATTGATCATAGCAACCTTATTGGCTGGAGTTGAAAGCTGCTCACTGATGTCAGCCATAGACCTCAACATGGGTTCCAGTGTGACCCTTGAAAGGTGAAATTTAACCTCTGATTCTCTTGATTGGGACCGGCCATAATCTTGCAGCTGGAACATATTCAATTACAACAGAGAGACCTTTAGACTGACAGCACATTGAATGTCAGCAGGCCCTTTAACCACAGTAAAGTGGGGAAAAAAAATGAAAGTCTTGGAAAGTACCTTCAAACTGATTACTGCTACCCTATTTGCAGATGCTGAACTCTTAGACTCCATTGCCCAAGTCATTGACTTCAGACATGGAAGAACCATCTAAGCACAAATAAAAGATAAAAGAACAAAAACAACTCAAGTTATACTTCCGGAACAAAATTGAAACATTCCTTTCCACATTAAGAAACTACACTAATAGTTCCCATACCATGTTTTCACTGGGGCTATCATCTGGATGAAGAGAAACAGGTGCCATATGTGGAAGAGTTAAACAGGCTGATTGTGGAAAATTTCCGTCATCAAGTTTAAATCGTCTAGTCATTTCATCTTGCCGTGGCCACAATAGAGGAGTATCTGATAGAAACCTAGATGTCCTATGATCCGTATAAATTACACCAGTGCCCTGTGAACTCGGAGGTGGGACCCTGGAAACATTTTTCTTTGCCATGTTTACTTTCTTCATTGCTTCCTTAAGGGCGTTAAGCACAATATCATATGTTTCAGGAGTTATGGCTCCTTCCTCTGCACACTTGATAGCTTCCTTACAAAGGTTGTTGTACCGAATCGTTAAGGACTCGCAACTATCTAACTCCCAAGAATCATCTGACCTGCTACCATTTCTTGCATTTCTAGTCCACCGCTTTAATATATAATGCGAAGGCAATGTAAGTACATTTGTGACAGTAAATACAGTCAAAATATGCCTACACAGGATGCCACAGTACTCAAACATCTGACAGGTACAGGTAGCTTTTATCTCTGGAACATTTAAAGAGACAATATAGGCTTTGCGGTCATCCTCAAATTTAGCAACCCTGTAGGAGCTTATAGTGCCATCTCCGTCAATCCTATTTGCTGTATAAACAAATGTCTCAACTAATTCTTTCTGAAAACCTGAAAAGATTCTCCTTGTATAAACATCCGCTGCCTGTTTTTCCATTGGTGAAGGTGTCTTCAGCTGTGGAGAGGTGCTGCTTGTATCCAGATCAGCTTCCACTTCCTTTTCAAATGAACTCTCTAAAGCTCTTTCATATTGCCTAAAGAACAATGGTAAGGTGGTTTGTTGGTTCACATAGCCATCAAAAAACAAACTCTCAAATCCCTGATTAGGAGAAACAGCTGCAAAGAAACTGTTTCGAAAATAAACAGGAACCCATTGCCTTCTGAAATTATATAATGACTGAAGCCAATCATTTCTCCTCAGACCATACTTCTCAAGAAGACAATCCCAAGAAAACTCAAATTCCTCAATTGTCTGTGTCAAATTAATGCAATTATAGAGCTCCACTTGGAAATTTGGATAGGCACGACTTATACGAACCATCCTTTCTTGGCCTTCTCGTAAAATTCCCCATTTATTAAAACAATGACGGGCTTCTGGAAACACCTGAGCTACTGCAACTTGTATGGCTTTGTCCCTATCAGTAACTATAGATACAGGAGCACGGTCATTCATGGCAGCAAGAAATGTTTTGAACAGCCACAAAAATGTAGCTTCAGATTCATCTAGAAGCAATGCACAAGCAAATAAAATTGTCTGGCCATGATGGTTCACTCCTGTGAACGGAGCAAATGGTACTTTATGCTGGTTAACCCTATACGATGTGTCAAGCGTAACCGCATCACCAAAATGAACATATGCAGCTCTTGACCTAGAATCTGCCCAAAAAACATTAGCCATGCGATTATCCTCATCTAGTTGTATGGCATAGTAAAAGCAGGGATTTTCTGCTTGCATTTTCTTAAAATAATCAAGCAGATTTTGAGCATCTTTTCCCAGCGTATTCTTCCGTGTGGGAAGTCTAGAGACAGTACTTAAAGAATCTGAACCCTTGAGTGCACGGCTTGATTTAAAAGGACTAATATCAGCTCCTCCGTTTAATTCTATTGGGACATGCTTACCTTCCACTGACACATACATAGTACCACTAGGAACAGTTTCAAGCCCAGGATAAGTTTCCACAGTATGCTTTGCAATACCTGCAAAATGCCTGCGAGGCCGGATGTAATGCATCTTACTTGAATTTGTGTCAAAATGTTTATGTTCCTTCACAAATTTGGTCACAACCCATTTGCCATGGCCCTTTAGTTCCACCTTTAGCATTGCTTCACAGCTCTTGCCAGTTCTTTTTCTCAACCAATCTTTAACACAGTAAAATTGCCGCACACTGAGAGTACCATCAGATCTAGGACGATCCAAATTGCTGACACAAGTACAGAAACCAATTCGTTTGGCATATAAAACATAGAATGTCCTGGCAGCCTCTTCAGAATCAAATTCCATACCCAAGTACGGCTCAACCACCTCTTCCTCATTTAATACCCCACTCTCATGTGGGTCATGGTCGACATCATCTGTGAGGCTCCCACGAGGCCCCATTATCCCATACTCCGAGTCAATCACTTCAACATCCATAACAATCCCACCTCTGCACACACATGCTAAATATAGCTTAACCTCCTTAAACAACTATCAGCTCTTCGCATCTTTTCAAACCTGCAACAAAACAAACCTCTCTTGTTTAACTCATTATTCATGCCCAAATCTCAAACTTGATAAAATGGAATAAAACCATACTTGCTGTAAACTAAGCAAAGAAGCTACAACGTATATGTCCTCCACAATATGCCCAACGGGAAAAAGGCAAAATTTGAAGTCCAAGTAAACAAAATAGTACTATTTGATAAGTGTTTTCATCAAAACTTAACATAAGCATCATCACCTCTAAAATTCTAACATAAGAACTTGAACACCACGGATTACAACACATGAAACATGCACTCAAACTGTAAGAACATAAGTACAATCACTACAGTTTTAGCTTGCACTGACGAACATGCACATCAAAACCCATTTCAATACGTAAATGAATGAAACAATAAAGATAAATACACACAAAATGGAATGAGAAAGTACCTGTGATGGAAATGAAGAAGGCAGGTCATGTGGTATCCTTTCTAGAAGGTAAAAAGAAAAATTGGCGGGAGAACCCTTTGTCAAGTTTTAAAACAAAAACGAACAGGATTTTTCAATAGCTGAAATTTTGGAGAGGGCAAGAACAAAGAACGACGACGTTTACGGGGACAAAGTTTCATCATCAGCCGGGTTACTGAAGGAGAATTGAAGAAGAAGAAGGAGGAGGGGGGAAGAGGGAGAGTGAGTGGGTGTGGCATAGATTCGTATTGATCTAATGTGTTCCCTATATCTGAGCCGTTGGATTGAAATCGGAGGGCCGTAATTGTTTTAAGAATTACTTTGGTGGATATTAGTGGACCCACATTGAGGAAAAGAGGGTGTATTTTGCGACCCTACGGTTACATCATAAGTGTGGAAAACTGGATTAAATGCATCCCCACGGACTCACTCTTTTTATCCAAAAAGTCCAAATGCATCTTCCTTACCATATCTTCTTTAAATTATTATTACTGTTAGTATTGTCATCATTATATCCTTCTCTATTATTAAATTATTAAATTATTATTACTATTATTGTCATCATTATTGTAACTAGAAAAGATCCAAAAAGTCCAAATGCATCTTCCCTTACCATATCTTTTTTAAATTATTATGGTCATCATTATATCTTTTTCTAGTAGAAAAGATTAAAAAAAAAGGACAACAAAGAATTGCCATTTTTCATATTTTCCGCTTTCCAAAATAATCCACCCTCTTATGATAAAAAGTAATGATATCTTACTCTACTTGCATGGCAATCTTATTAGCGTATACACATTATAAGATTATAATAATATTTAATTAAAGAAATTGAAAATCCCACATCATCGTTACTTGGTATGATCTTTTTTCCTTTTATTTTTTTTTTCTTTCACAAAGACATCGCCTCCTTCAGAGTTTTAGCCATAGTAATACATATGCCTCTGGTCGATTAATCCTAAAGTTTAAGATTAATCCTAAAGTTTGGTCCTAAAGTTCACTCAGAACAGATTCATATATATTGCTTAAGTTCAATCAATAACATGGTTCAGATATAATGATACAAAAAAAACAAAGAAAGAGAATAAAGAAATAAAATACAGTTTAGGATATTTATTAAAGGATTCAATATGAGATCCATAAAGAAAAAAAATACACTTTTCGTATTTTTTAACAGTAATGAAAATAAGTAATGATGTTACGTGACTAATAGTTATTTATTTACATGATTCAATACGTGATCCACATAAGAAAAAAAATACAGTTTTTGTATTTTTTAAACAATAATTAAAAAAATTAATGATATTACGTGATCAAGAAATCTTTGTGAACAAACTTTAGGATCAAATCTCTTGGACCTTGAAATCTTTCTGCGAGGAAGCAAGCTGTACTAGAATTTTTATTTGTTGGATGATGCAATGACCTAGAATCTGATGCAAATGGAAAAGCCAAGAACCGCCTTAGAATGTAAGTCTCAAGCAACCCAAATAAGTTAAAAACAGAATACACAGATCAAAAAATTAGAGAAAAATTAATATTCCATCATCGAAACTCGAGCGGCCCATCAACTGAAAGAAGAGTCCAACCGAGTCTCTTAAGGCGGTTTAGGTTCCCAAAACTTAATAGGACTCGGGGATTTTCCAGGTATTCTCATACCTATAAATAGGGTTGCTTATGCCACAATACAGGTACGCAATCTATAGCTTAACACACTACATACCTAAACGTTCTAGCAACCCTTTATTGACTTAAGCATCGGAGTGTCTACCCTCGGGAGACCCCCGAGGCTCTATTTTGCAGGAAACCCTAGCCGGAGTTTCACTATTAGACCGGCGGCGCGAAACCAAGCTTCGTCAAGTGGCACGCAGTGGGACCCGAAAACTAGGGTTCGTGTCACAGAAACCTTCCCAGATTTCCTTAACATCTTCCGGTGAGACCTAGGGTTACAGGAACAATCAACACTATTGTTAGGGTCGAAGAAGACACCAGTAGCACTGCGTCTTCCGGCAGACGGCATAGTCCGGGGGACAATACCACCCTGGCCGAATTCCAACGCAGACAAGAAAGAAAAAAGGCAGGAAAGAGTCATGGCAGAGAGCCTGAAAGAAAACCAACAAAAGAACGCTTGGTCCTTGGTTTTTCCCAGCCTGATCCGAAGAAAAAAGACAAAGCCAATCATCCACCTGAGAAGAGGATGTACCTTCTCCTCGAAATACCCCTGCTACCAAAAAGCGTTTGGAGGATCAGAAGCTAGCCAAGATCGAGGCTGAACTCAAGAAGCTAGGAGATGATAGCAATCAGCAACAGAGGATGCGAAGATATGTCCTCGAACAGGAGTTGGATGATTTGATCGATGAAAAAGAAGCTCGCAGAATCCTAACCCTTCTCGAGAAGAAGCGGGGGAAGCGGAAAGTCCAAGAAGACAAGAATTATCAAGAAGCCGAGGGGTTTGAAAACCCCTACGAAGATCGCTCAAACGCCACTCGGGACACCATATTCTGGAACGCTTTCAGAGAAAAATACCCAGCATTCGAAATGGCCCTCGAAGATTTAACGCGACATACCGACGTAAAAATACTCGGGAGTATGACGATTCCCCAAGTGTCGAGGTCATCGAAGAAGAAGAAGGGAACCTTCCAAGGTGAACTAAGGGACACAACCGCCTGGAATCTAATTGGAATCGAAGAAGTCCTCGAAGAGATGAATATAAACCTGGCCACGAACCACATCAAGACTACAACAACATCGAGGGCAATTATAACCAAGGATACCATATCGTTCTCAGTACTTGCCTCCCAGACATCAGCAATATAGCAGGCATAGAGAAAATCCGTCATACTTCCAGGGAGACCAACAAGGAGCAAGAGATCAGAACATCTTGATCCGAGAAGAAATGAGAAAGATCATCGGGATAGGGTTAGACCGAAGTCCCTTCATCCCAGACATTCGAGATGAACCTAAGCCCTGAGACTTTGACTTCCCTAAGGAATTTAAACCATATTCAGGAGACACTGATGTCTCCCAATGGCTACAAGGATATGTCCAGGTTATGAGAATTCGAAACGCAACTATGAATTTCCTGGCCAAAGTGCTACCTTCCTACTTGGCCGGGTCAGCACAGTGATGGTTTGGGCAATTACCAGAAGGGAGTATAATTAGCTTTGAGGATCTGTCCGTCAAACTAGCTACAAGATTCTTCCAGAGTAAACGAATATCACAAATGTCCATTGACCTCTCCTCAATCAGACAAGGGCAGCATGAGAGTCTCACCGACTTCATAGGCGGTTCATACAAGAAACCTTACAGGTCAACAACATTGATGATCGAGATGTTCGCAATGGATTCATCCAAGGCCTTAACCCCTTTGGAAAATCCGCAATTTGCGAGTCAAGCTCTCGACTAAGCCCCCCAAGAATGCTCAGGAGATGTGGGCCATTGTCGAGAACCACATACAATGAGAACACACACTCAAAAGATCCCAGGAATCTTTTGCGTCGGTAGGACTAAGAGACAAGTCAAAAGTCCCCATGGAGAAAAAACCGGCGCTGCCCAAGATGGATAGGCAATTAACACCTCTAACCAAGCCGTGACGAGAAATCCTCCAGATCCATAAGGAAGAATTACCAGTCCCGAAACCTTTGGCACCTAATTCAAATAGATCAACACAACAATATTGTGAATATCACAAGGATCACGGCCATGACACGGAGGATTGTTGAGAACTTAAGAGGGAAATCGAGAACGGGGTTAAGTCTGGCAAGTTTCAGCAGTACGTACAAGGAGCCTCTTGGTAGAAGAATAACAGGCCCCAATCACGAAATTACCCTAAAAGAAACTTCAAAGGCCTGCCACGGGGAGACGGCCGGGGGAACAGTTGGCAACCGAGAGCCAATATCCAACAACAACCTCACCAAATTACTGAAGCCGCACCGCAGCCACTCCAACAACTCCCCCCAGCGGACCCGACGAAGCAGATCACTCACCAGGTAGGGGCTATTTACGGAGCTCCCCTTGAAGTCTTATCCATCACGGCCATAAAGAACTCGTTGCGAACCGTTAGCAAGACTCCTCGACAAGAGCCTAGCCACAAGAGGTTCAAGGGGACAGAAGCCATCGTATTCACAAATAGCGATGTAGTCCCAGATATCTGTCCACACAACGACGCCATGGTTATCGAAGCAATAATCGCAAATGTAAAAGTTGGAAGGGTTTATGTGGATAATGGTAGTGCGATCGACATCATATATAGCGATTGCTTCAAGAAGATGAATATCAAGAACCCGAGCATCTGCCCAGCCACAATGCCCTTGATGGGATTCTCAGGTCACACCATTATTCCAACAGGAATAATTAGCCTCCCCATCTCAGTAGTCTCGCACCCTAGGATGGTCACTTTAACCATGGACTTCACTCTGATAGATGCGCCCTCGCCATTCAACGTGATTTTGGGACGATCCTGGATGTGCCAAACACGTGCAGTCTGGTCTCCCTATCACCTAGTAATGAAGTTTCTGACAGAATATGGAGTTGGAGTAGTACAAGGATGCCAGCGCAGCTCTTGAGAATGCCTGCTCACAGCAGTTAGAATCGGAAAGAAGACCGCACACCTTAATCCAAGTGCCGATGCGTCGGAGTGTTACTCAATCTGACAAACTTCTATACCACCACAGACGGAGGATCCCGAGACCTCCAATCTCCCACCGACTCAGCAGTAAGACATGAGAGTTGGTCCTGAGCGAGACTGACCCCGCCAAAACCGTTCAAATCGGCGTTTCTCTCTGCGACCCATTGCTAGTCGAGGTTAGTGCCTTGCTACGCAAATTCCGCAATATATTCACCTGGTCTCCGGCGGACATGACAGGAGTTCCTCGAGAAGTCATGGAACATAAGCTAAATGTCGACCCAAACGTCAAACCGGTGCAGCAGAAGAAAAGAGTATTCGCTCATGAACGCAATGACATCATCAACGAAGAAACGATGAAGCTAGTCCGTGCCAACATACTCCGAGAAGTTCTATGGCCCACTTGGTTAGCCAACCCTGTCTTGGTACGACAACCCGATAATTCTTGGCGCATGTGCCAAGATTACATTGACCTCAACAAGTATTGCCCCAAAGACTATTACCCCCTACTAGTCATAGATCAGATGGTAGAGGGTATCGCCGGGTACAGAATTCTCAAATTTCTCGATGCGTACAAGGGATATCATCAAATCCTCATGGCACGAGAAGATGCGGAGAAGACAGCTTATATCACCGAGATTGGGGTTTATTGCTACAACAAGATACCCTTTGGACTAAAAAATGCAGGGGCGACTTACCAGCGTCTCGTGAATAGAACCTTTCATGATCAAATTGGCAGGAACATCGAGATCTACGTGGATGACATGGTGATAAAGACAAACAAAGACGAGCAAGTAGCTGCAAACATGCGAGAGATCTTCACGATCTTACGCAAAATTA